GAAATTTTATATTGGGGTTCCCGTTGGTAGTAGGTTTGTGATAAAGAGATGCTTTTGCAAATGTGTACTACAAATGCACGAAAAGTACTATATTTGGTACAATTTGGTATTGGTTAAACAGTTAATGCTTGAAATCGTAAATTTGGTATTACAGTTCCTGTTCATGTGTATTCTGGATATATGGAGGTGGTTTGGGAAATGTGTACTATAATTGTACAAAAAGGACAGAATGGTATATTTAGTTTAGTACTAAATAGTACTAAATTGGGTTTTGGGTGAAAGGATAGAGCTGAAATTTTAAAATTTTATATGGATGTCAGCTGTTGGGATTCTAAAATTTGGTTTTGAAAAGGAAGTGTTTTTGGACATGCGTGGTATGACTGAACGAAAAGTATGGTAAAAAATAGGGATAAGGCGGTAATCCTCAAATTTGATGTTGAGGTCTCTTTTGGCATCTTGAATTGAGATTTGATGATGGATTTGCAATGGCACTAAATTTGCCTTAGAGTGAATAGATAGAGCAGAAATTCTGAAATTAGATATAGATGTCACTATTGGTGTCTATGGTTGGGATATGGTTTGTTGTCCATTAGGTAAGAGGAAGTCTATCTCCCAACCAAACTAAATTAGACTTCATTCTGTACCCAATTGATTTTATAACAAACCTACGATCAATTTTTGTACCCTCCACCTTGAAAAGAAGGATATATTTCATGATTTTTGATACATTTTTTCACGGATTTGTCTAAAAATTGGTATTTGTAGGTCATAATACATTCCTGCAGACATATGTCTGTGTAAAATTTTATCAACCTACCTTATTTTGGTCGGAAGCTACAGCGATTTCCATACAATTTTTGCTGTGGGGTATAAAATTTATATTTCGAGGGGTAACAAACCGAATGACAAATTTAATATGCCCTCCAAACTATGTTGGAGGGTATAAAAACTGAATTTCATGCATAATCACATTTTCAAATATAAGTCGGAAATGGCATCAAATTTTAGAATAAATTTAGATTTGTTCGAATTGGTTAGCTTTAGCACGAATTATGGCCTTCAAAGGGTCAATGAAACCGTCACATGCTGCCCAAATGCTCCTCTGCGGTATTTTGGCCCATTCCCCTTCCCGGCGAAGCGCTAGCTTCATGTGATCGGCACTTTGATATTTTTGGTGCCAAACTTGCTTTACAAAATGCTCCAGACACAATAGTTCAACGGATTTGCGTGCCCAAGGCTTAAATACACCCTCCAGAATATTTTTCCGATAATATTCGGCATTTATTCTGATGCTACGGTAGAATCATATGAGCGGAGAGCGACCATCGCCTGTTATGGCGGCCCACACCATCACCATGGCCGGCGCTTGAGTTCTGGTGGCCAACCGAAGGTGCACATTTTCAACTGATCTCTTTGCCATGGAAACACGATAATTTTGTTTGTTTACAAACTGCTGGATAACGAATGTTTTCTCATCGGAGAAAACAAAAATTCGGCAGTTCACCACTAACGGCCAAGCAAAGCAACTCTTTAGCTCTTTTGAGTCTATTTTCTTTCTGCTGCGGTGCACTTTTCGAAATTTTTATGGCATTTTTCAATATTTGCCGAATGGAATATTGTGATATGTTCAGCTCACGAGCCATTTTTCGGCCACTGCGACGCGGGTTTCGATCAAGTCGCTTCTTTACATTTCGAACCATTTCTGCTGATGTTGCTGTTTTCTTCCGACCAATTCCTTGACGTCGGGCTACGCTACTAGTATCACGGTAACGAGCGATGGTAGGAGACACAAAAAAATTATTCACATTTAAATGCTGGAGTGCTCTAAAAATAGCCACTTTTGGTTTTCTAGCCAAAAATATAGAAATCTCATTATTACGCTTGAATTCCACCACGAACACCTTTTTTCTGGAAAATTCTCACCAAAATGCTTTTGTACGCTTGTAAACAATATAATGAGCTGTCACTGGAATAATTTTAACAGCTGTCGGACGAGTGGCTTAGAAATGACAGCAGTCTGAAGTTTGTTGCAGTTTTGTCATCTCACCCTGTATATAATATAATTTGAATCGATTTCTATAAAATTTAAAAAATATATTTCCATTCTGTATTTGATTTCACCTACCCAATATCATTTATTCTACCAGTCGGAACTTGTTCTCATCATCCAATATCTATCTTTATTAGACAAACGGAACATAAGTTAAATTTATTAATTTGCCCTAGCTCTAACTTGGCGACACATTTAAATTCGGAAGTCACTATTTAAGTTGTTTGACCAACTTAAATGGTGACTTCCGAATTTAAATGTAATTCTCAGCAATGCTCTTAAATATTAATAGACTACTCAACGACTCGACTAATTGCCACTGTGTTATTTATATTTCACCTAAATAAAAAGTGAACAAATTCACTGTGAGTTCAATGTATTTAAACAAAAATTAATATAGTCAAGGTAATGACAGAGCCCCTTTCAAAGGAATTTGTTTATTTATACAAGAGTTCTTTAATTTGTGAAATGATAGACAATATATTAATTAAACATTTTTGTATATCTTAAAATAATAATTAGATTTTTTGTCATGATGTTATTCTGTTTTGTCGATATTTCTATGGCAATGAGTAATAATGTATGTTGTTCGTATTGCTATAAATGAAAGAGAAAAGTTAGTTTTTTTATATTTCAATATATTTTTATTTTTCAATACAATCTCCTGAAACTTTAATACACTTAGTCCAACGCTTGCCAGCGAAGATTTTTTTTTTAGATTTGGGAAGAAGTTACTGGGAGTCACTCGTACTTTAATTCGTTGATTTTAGCCATTGTTAAAACACTCTTGTGCGCTGGTGCGTTGCCTTGATGAAAAATATATTTTTATACCCTCCACCATAGTATGGAGGGTATATTAAGTTTGTCATTCCGTTTGTAATACCTCGAAAAATACATTTTAGACCCCACAAAGTATATGTATATTCTTGATCAGCATAAAATTCTATGTCGATTTATCAATGTCCGTCTTTCTGTCAGTCTATCCGTCTATCCGTCTGTGGAAATCACTCTAGCTTCCGAACGAAATGAAGTAGGTTGATAAAATTTTACTCAAATGTGTATAATGTCTACTTTTGGTATTGAAAATGGCCCATGCAGGTCCACGTCTTCGTATAGCCCCCATATAACGGTACCTCCCGATATGCCGTATTTTGATGATTTTAGCGACTTTATTTACCGGAACTTTTTCAAATTTGGTATTTGAAGTTCGTAATGAATACTATAGCCTATGACAGAAAATTATCTGTGCAGATCCACATTTTATGACCACTATGGTACCTCCCTATGTTCGGCATTTTGAGGATTTTAGCTACATTATAAACAGATTTTTTTTGCGTTTGTTCTCGGTCAGGTGGAAAAATGGATAATATCGGCCTACTCCATCAAGTACCTCCCCCACAAATGGTCACACATCTCAATATTTTTATTAACCCAAGATCTTGTGTTAATATGGAATATATCGGTCCAATCCCCCCTTACAAAAGGTCGAAATTTTGAATATCCATAAAACGCGAAATTAATATCCAATTCCATTCGAGAACTTGGAACATCTCAATATTTCCATCGGACCATTTCTTGTGAGCCTTCCGCACGTAGAGTTCAATATTTTGAAAACAAAGCGCTAAGGAAGAAAGCGAAATAAGCATCCAATCTCTTCAAATGTCACACATCCAAGCATTTTTGCTAACACAAGATCTATTGTAAAAATGATATACATCCCACAAAAGGCCACAATTTTCAATACTTTTATCTGTCATAACTTGCGAAACATATCAGCAATTCTTTAGAACTTGCTATGCCTAAATATTTCTCTCAACCAAAAGCCTGATATGAATATGAAATTTATCGGTATTTATGATTTCGCATAAAATTGGATATTGGATTGGGTGTGATGAAAAAACTGCAACTAACTTCAGACTTCTGTAATTTCTAAACCACCCGTCCGACAGCTGTTACAATTATTCCAGTGACAGCTCATTATATTGTTTACAAGCGTACAAAAGCATTTTGGTGAGAATTTTCCAGAAAAAAGTTATATTCGTGATGGAATTCAAGCGTGATAGTGTGATTTCTTTATATTTGGCTGGAAAACTACAAGTGGCTATCGTTAGACCACTCCAGCATTTAAATGTGATACTGGTAGCGTAACTCGACGTCAAGGAAGGGGGCGGAAAAAACATCAGTAGAAATTGTTCGAAAAGTAAAGAAGCGACTTGATCGAAACCAGCGTCGCAGTGGCCGAAAAATGGCTCGTGAGCTGAACATACCACAAATATTGAAAAATGAGCTCGGGGAAAGCCATTGAAATTCCAAGAAGTGCAAGAACTTACACTGCAACAGAAAGAAAATAGACTAAAAAGAACTAAAGAGTTGCTTCGCTTGGCCGAAAGTGGTGAACTGCCGAGTTTGGTTCTCTCCGATGAGAAAACATTCGTTGGCCAGCAGTTTGTAAACAAACAAAATGATCGTGTTTACTTGCCAACGAGGTCAGCTGAAAATGTGAACCTTCGGTTGGCCACCAGAACTCGAGCGCCTCCGGATACCAATCCGTTGGACTATTGTGTCTGGTGTATTTTGGAAAACAATGATGGCGCTAAAAATACCAAAGTGTCGGTCACCTCAAGCAAGCGCTTCGCCGGGAATGGGCCAAAATACCGCAGAGCAACATTCGGGCAGCGTGTGACGGTTTCATTGGCCATTTGCAGGCCATAATTCGTGCCAAAGGTGACCAATTCGAACAAATCTAAACTTATTCTAAAATTTGATGCTAATTCCGACATTTTTTGCTTTCATTCCATAAAATTTAAAAAAATGTTATAATGATGGCGTTTTACTTGGTTGCAAATTTTTTTATCTCTGTAGCCATATGGCTAAGGTATAAAAACGAATTATTTGCAAAATTATTAACGACCAAGGAATGACCACTTCTGTCATGTGAAAGGCCCTTGGATTTGTTATTTGTTTTGTAAAGGAGTCATTTTCTTTGGATATAATTCAATTATCTATGGCCTCGGAAAATAAATTTTAACTCCTTTATTTTTTTTTAATTTATTAAATAATTTGTCTTACACTTTATTTTGTATTTTAGCAGATGAATCGCGTAAAAATATATTTATTTATCCCATCCACCCCAACCTCCGCCTCCTCCATTCCAACCACCTCCGTTGCTTATGATTTTGTAAACGGTAACATGAGCACCGCCACCACCTCCCCAGCCTCCGCCGCCACCGCCTCCCCATCCTCCACCACCGCCACCCCAGCCTCCGCCGCCGCCACCTCCACTACCATAGGTTATAATTTTATAAGTGTCAACATGAGCACCTCCGCCGCCGCCTCCACCATACAAGAAGCCAGCCTGGGCCGTAGCCACTAGGCATGCCAATGCCAGAAGTTTCATGTATCCCTAAAATCCGCACGATAAATTAATTTCAGTTATAGTATAATTGTAGGCCTCACTTACTTTCATTGTTGGGCTAATTGAAACTAATACCGTCAGTACCATCTGCATTGCTTATATATACAATCTTGAAAAGTTATTCCATTTCTTTTTTTTTTAAACAATAACAATTAAAATTTTAGAATAAAATCAAAATTTGCCAGGACGTATATAAACGGAACGAGTTCTAAGTGTACGCTAAGATGTACTTCTTTCATTGAATAATTACAAAACAAGTAATCGAAATTGTTGAACTCTAATCCCATGTTATGGAATTTTTGGTAATTCCTAATAATTTGTATTTGTTTGTTTGTTTTAATTTTGTTCTGGGAGGAACGTAAAAATAGATCGTACTATGGTAATTTATTTGTTGTTATTTTTATGGAAACCTAAGAGATTTTGTATAAAATTGCAAACGGAATAATTAGAGAGTAGATCGATAAATCCAGAAAATCTGATGAAATATATCAAGTATTTTTTTTTTAAATCTTAAATATTCAGATTTGCATCCAGTGTTTCTTAATTTATATAAAATTGTTTTAGTCATTAATAGTGTCCTACCGCGAATTTTCGTAAGAGCAGTTCCACCTATTGAGTTGCAGATTATTTTCCAAAAATAAATGTTATTCCAGTTATTTGTCATAACAAATTATATACCTATAATCCATATATGAAGTTCGGAATCGATACCAAAGCGTATGACAAAAATGACTTATGCTGTACCACGTCTTCGTATAAACTCTACATAACGGTTTTTATTTGAGCATTATTTTTTGACGGAATATTTTTTTTTTTTTTTTTTTTTGAAAAATTTCAAGTTCCTTCCAAATTGTGGTGGGTATGGTTTGGTTTTTTAGTTTTTCCATTTTAATCCCTCAGCCATATGGTTGATGTTTCCTAAAATGTCTGAAGTTTTAGCTGACTTTGAGCAGACGTGTCGGACGGCCGACATTTGGTTCACAGGGTGTCCGTCCGTCTGTCTCTCCGTGTGCACAATAACTTCGTATTAATATTTTTTATCAACCTTAATCGTGTTCGGCGACGGACAATAATAGTACCTCCTCCACAAAAGTCAACATTTTCAAAGAAAACTATTTGCTCTATAAATAGCAAAGGGCATGTCAAATCTTGCTCAAACTGAATATTTCAAAGAACCTCGATCAGATGAGAAAATGGACGAAATCGGTTCAATCCTTACGGTACCTCCACAAAAATTTTAAACATTTTTAATTCATAATCTTAATCAAAACTTCCACCTACATTAGATCCAGTGTGAATATCCGGCTTATCGGCCCACTTCTTCTAGTACCTCCTCCACAAAACTTCGGAATTTTAATGAATAATAAATTCCTAAAATGTAAATGTCTGATTTGCAGATTTGAAAATGGACTATGTTAGCCCACTCCCTCTATACCTTCCCAATGAGTTAAAGGTGAGAAAATGTGCAGGTGTAAAAAATTTCAGATGATTTTGTTGGCCTCGAAGCGAAAATAAACAATTTTGCTCTTAATTATTCTATATTGCATTTTGAAATATGTGGGCGAATGTAGTACCGTGAAAATCTATCGAGTAGTCAAAATAGCAGTTTGAAAAAAAATGGTTTTAAATGAAGAGAAACCCTTAAAAATACGTAAATTCGAGGAGAGTCAATACCATAAACCAAATTCCGCAAAATTTAGCAAGTTCCGTTGGAAACAACTTTAAAAAGATCTAAACCTGGGCGTTGCCGTTATCGGATGAACAATATATATGGGAGCTACAGCTACATCTTTACCGATTTCGATCAAATTTGGCATACTTATTTTCAGCCCTAATTTGGTCGTATGTGCAAAATTCCATACTATTTGGGCTGATATTACACGTTTTGTGCACAAAAAAGGCAAATCCTACGTTGATATATATGGGAGCTATATCTAAATTTTGACCGATTATCTCCAATTGCAATAGGGTTCATCCTTGGGCCAAACAAATTAACAGACGGACGGACAGACGGACGGACGTGCATAAATCAACTCAGAATGTAATTGTATGCAGATCATCAAAAGGAACTATGGATCTATCTCGTTTCCTTTCGCCTGCTACAAACAAATGCACAAAGACATGGTACCCTGACCACCTTGTTGTGTAGGGCATAAAAAGATTAGCATTCTTATATTTCTCGAACAAAGCATTTCCCAATTAGTTTAACTTCAAGTTATTTTTTAAGCCTAGTGTAAATCTATTGTAAGTTACGTGTATTCAGAGCATACCTTTAGGCGCATAATTTGCTACGCTCCCTTTAAAAGAAAACAAACAGTATGGCTACACTGCTTAAGCACAAAATCTTTTATTGACGAAGCGCCGATGTTAAAATTACCAAATTTTAAATTTTATAACCACCACCATGAAAAGGAGGGTATAATATAGTCACACCGTTTGTAACACCTCAAAATATTCATGGGAAATCCCATAAAGTATATACACTGGTGGCCAAAACTAAAGCAACTGAAATTACAAGGAGAATGAATGCCCTGTAACTTTTTCAAAAATTAAGAAAATGAGAAAGTTTTTCTTGTTTTAAATTAGGTACTTTATTCACTTTTTAAAAACCTAAAACATAAAACCAAAATTCATTTTTATATAAAAAATAATGTTTGGTAAACTCAATTTATCCGATTTTGGCTTGGACAAAACAAAAGCAACTCTGTTGTACATTCATATAACCGCTGCAATTTCAGTTGTTTTTACTGTGATATTTATCGCTTTTTGCTTCCTTCGACAATTTCGCTTGTTTATGACAAGTTTTTTACAACAGTATGTGTTTTTCTTTTCGTTTTTTAAGTACTGCCCAAAAAAATTTAAAAATGGGTTAAAGCAAATACATTACCTGAATAAAACAGCAAATTATCAGTGATTATCAAAACAACATATTACAGAAAATGATTTCCGAGAAATATTTCATAAATATTTATGTGATTTCATAATTATTTTCGTATACTAAGTCGGTTGAAATTGGATCAGTAGTAACAGTCTATAACGGATGAAGGCCGTGAAAAACTTCAGCCCGTACTGATCCACAAATTGTGTGAGAAATAAAAAACAACTATTTAAGAGTTCAACGGGTTGGTGAGAGAGCAATCATTGGATATAAGCTCGAGATCAGTGCGTAGACGAGTAATGGCAGCTGGTCTGCATGCCCGTAAGACATCAAAAAACCATTTATATCTGAAAAAATCAAAAAGGCTTTCGGAAACGATAATATTAAGTGGAATCAAGCTCAATGGAAAAAACATTATTTCTGGGATGAGTCTACGTTTAATATTAAAGGCTCAGACGTGAAAAATTTTACGGTGAGAAGACCAAAAAATGAAGGACTCAAGCCGCAGTGTTGCAAAGGTACAGTGAAGCATGAGGGAGGGCCAAAAATGGCGTGGCGCTGTTTTTCTTTCTATGACTTGGACCTATCCATAAAATAAAGGAAGTTGTGGATCGGTTTGTTTACAAAGATGTGTTGGACATCACGTTATTCCCTTACGCTGAGTAAAATATTCGGCTGATTTGGGTGTTTCAGCATGACAATGATTCCAAACTTGTATCAAAACTTGTCAAATATTGGTTGCGGGAGTCAAAAATTCATGTTTTGTTATGGCCGGCACAATCACCTCACCTAAACTCCTTAGAAAATCTTTGGAGTATCGTAGATAGGAAGATCAAGAGAGATTCGGAAATAAATAAGCACAACATTTTCTAAAGAATTCGGGGTGCCTGGGAAGGCACACCCAAGGATCAAATTGAGCGTGTTATAAATTCAATGCCTCGTAGGTGTGCAGCTGCTATCAAAAATAATGGTTATGCTATCGACTACTAGCCAAAATTTAATTATTTTAAAATAAAAAATCAAAAGTTGCTTTAGTTTTGACCAAGCAAAAATTGGGTCATTTTAGTTTTCCACATATTATTTTTCGTTCAAAATTATTTTTGTATTTTTATTTTTAGTTTCTTAAAAGTGAATTAAACCCCTTATTTAAAACTGGAAAAATACTTACGATTTGTTTATTTTTGTAAAAGTTACAGGACATTTATTGTCTTTGCGATTTAAGTTGCTTTAGTTTTGGCCACCAGTGTATATTCATGATCACCATAAAGTTTTAAGTCGATTTAGCTATGGTTCAATATTTTGTATTGTAGTAGAAGAATGTCTATACAGGTTTAAGTTTTGGTACAGAGGCCATATAATGTTTCCATTCATTGTATGGTACCTCGAAAACTTTCACTGCATTATCCAACCAAAGTTGTTTATTTTTCAGTTTAAAGTGGAATATGTTCGAATATGAATTTAAATACCTTTGATGTTTTTTCACTTTACGTTGGAGGGTATTAAAAATTGGTCCTTAATGTTTTTATTTTTACTTTTTTTATCATAGTCTAACTTTATGGCAAGTTATATGGTCTGTGGTCGTCTCTATAACTATTATAAAGATTGGCCTAGATGTCTAAAACTATGTTGATAATTATATCATGTCTGCCAGTTTTATGGAATTGAAATTTTCCAACTCCATCGGCTATTAGTTGTATTTGATGTTTACAATGGGCATGCCAAACAAGTACAATAATATATTGAAATCGATCAACTTTTTGATATAACCCCTATATTACAGTAACGCATGCCGTTACCACCATTTATCTGTAACATGGAGAAGGAAGCGAGATAGACCCATAGTTACTTTTAAAGATCTTCATAGAATTACTTTCTTTGTCGAATTTTGCATGTCAGTCCATGTATTTTTGTAAACAAAATGCAAGTCGCATTAACTATCCGATTGAGATGAAATTTTTCAAACAATATTTGTTTGGCCCAAGGACGAACCCTATTGAAATTCGTAAGAATCGGTGCAAATTTAGATAAGCCCCCATACAGAGCTTCAACTGATTTCGGGATAATTGTGCACCAAATGGCCAATATCAGTCCAAATGACCTGCATTTTGGCACATCCGACAGAATTCAGTCTAGAAGCAAGTACATCAAATTACGATTTGGTGTTCACGTCCCTCAGATGCGCTTCACAATAACAATATTTGGTGCCAGATATCAGATACAACCCAGAAATACCTTTGTAAATATATATGAAGATCAGATTTGAATATAGCTACCATATATATCTTTATCCGTAATCAGGTTAATTATGCATCAAATGGCTAATATCAGCCAAACGAACCGAATTTTGACACTTCCTACGAAA